AGATCAAAATACATATATTATGAAATTTTCATGTGAATCAAATAACTTTTTATTAATTGACTTTTGCATGTTACATTCGACGAATTTTTTAAAATTTCTTTAACGTTTCTTTAAAATTCATATGTGTTAAACGTAAAAATCAAAAGTCAATTAATAAAAAGTTATCCAATTTATATGAATTTTTCAAGATAGATGTATTTTGATCTCTTGAACAACTTTTACTTAATAAGCAAGGTCGATTTACTTAATAAAATTCTTTGTAATTAGCAAAAAACACTTTTATCCAATAATAAACTACTTGCAAAATTTTTGTGTAACATTTTGGCCAAAAATGGTAGCTTATTTTCAGATATATACAGTAATCCTACAAAGCAAGTACACGCGCAGAATTCAGTGTTAACTGTATAAAATAATTCGATGCCTTTTTTTTTCACTTAAAACTAGATATTCAGTATCTATCTCAATTTGTCGAATCTCTGAAGCATCAATTGCATCTCAGCTGGGATATAAAAACCTTCTAGCTATTTGAAGATGACCAGAATGACTATATACTATACCAAGCAAATGACGTTTATAATACTGTTTCATATTAGTTGTAATAAATTGAAACACCTAAACACTATTATATACTTTAGTATGTGAAAATATAATATTCTTTATTAATCCAAAGCTGCGTTCAATATAGTTGTTGGTATTATTACCACATATAAGAAGTTCAAAACAGAATGATAATGCCCAGAATTGCTGCCTGTTCTAAAGTGATTCAAAATATCTTTGTAGCTATAGGTATATATGGTAATAATTAAGGTTTAATTCATTATAGTATCTTATTATCTCAATTTCTGTTTGTGTATATAATATTTTTCTTATAATTTTTATTATAGGCATTTTATAGTTTTTATCTATAACATGCTTGGAATTATGCAACTATTGCCAAAAAGATTGAAGAACGTGAAATGCACATAATAATCATCTCAATTGTGGCTAGCAATACTCTAAAGCATTGTATTTGGCACTTGAGTTATTAGTCAAAAAAGCTATTGAACCAACATTAGACCCTAGCCAAAAAAAGCATATTGGGAAAGAATAGTTTTTAAAAGATCCAATCCCCTTTTAAGTGTTACTTCTAGCTCATCAGATGTTACCAAAAGACCAAGAGGTAGCTTCTGCAATTAGAAATAGTGAAAAAATCAGGTTAAATATTTTAATTCGAATAGTTAAATCTGGATTTAAATATATAAGCATTACACCTGTTTTTAATTATTTAATAAAAAACTTTTTGTTATCCTTACCTGCAATGTAGCTTGTATATAATAAAGTAATTGATATGTTTAATAGCTCAAAAGATGCTAAAGTATCGACATAATATATTTCACCTGATTGTTAAATTTTTTCATAAACACGGGCCATTAAATTTATAACTATGCAAAAGATAAAAGCCTTTTCTGCTTGAGAATCATATTCTTGAAATATAGCATGTCCTTTTCCAGAATTATTATAAGTATTAACTTCACATGTTAAATGTTGAAACATAGATTTTCTATTTTTTCCTCCAAGACACTCATTACGATACTGTTTAAACAAGTTTAAAACATAACCATAATCAGGATTTTGTGTACAATTAGCTAAAAGCTGCATAAGTACTTGGTTATTATCTGCATGCAAATAAAGACTGTCTTCATAAGCATATAGAGCTGTCACTAGTAAGTATCTATCAGTAAAAAGCTCAATATATTTGTTATGAACTTCTTCTTTAACATGTCTAAAACTAAGAGATTTTGCAGAATAGATAATATAATTATATGTAAACTTGATATTAATCATAAGTAGATGAAGAGTCTAAAGATACTAGCATTCTAGTCATAGATGAATAGTAGCTGTATATTTAGTGTTTCTAATTCGCATCAAATTAGGCTTTTTCAATACAAGGTTTCCTTGCTTTTGTTTAACCACATCACTGTGAATGCAATGCCTCATTTTTTGAAAAACAATTTTTTTTTCCTGAACTTGATAATCTTTAGATTGAGGCATTATCATTTTAGAAGTTTCTTCAAACTCAAACAACCATTTACGTGAACTCTCGTCACTATTGATATTTACAAATAGATTAGCTTCAAACTGGTTAACTGCAAACTCTTCTGTCATAATATAAACAAAACATTGTTAAATTTCAGAGACCAAATAATTATAATTTGATGGAAATATAGCTGCAACATATTCAGGTAATATGGAGCTTCTTTTATTTGATATATTCATAGTAGATAATGATTCTAAGACTTTATTCTCTGATATTTTAGTATTGAGCGGTAGTTCTGTTACATTAAAGTCCATAAGTATATTATCTTAATATGAAAAAGCAGATATCATTAGCAAAATTTATATATAGATATGTATCAATTACTAACCGAGAAGGATAGATATCAATTATAATCACCTCTGCTAATTATCATTGAACATAATAATGATTTGTATTGATTGTAATATAAATTAATAAATATCCAGTTATTATACAAACGAAAATTATTGATTTCGATTTGTATCGATAATATCTGCTTTTATAGAATCAATTTTTATTGATATTGATATCAATCGATACATATCTATATGAATACAATATGAAAAAAAATATCAACAAAACTTTAATTTATTTATTTTTTTTTTTTTTATTTTTTTTAACGTCTACCTTCTTGGGAGCTAGGATTTTTATTCAGATATATATAGCAAAGGGTTCTCTAGGGACCCCTACATTAGAAAGTATATACTAGCCACACGTACACTTTTGGTGTCTAATTTAA